TGCTGTTTTGTCTTTTGTAATAAAAATAAGCTAGCCTCCCCACAACCACAGTCGAATATGTTTCACACATGAAAAGGCTCCTTTAATAAATTTGGAAACTGCTGCTTTCTACCTTTCGTTCACTTCGGCTAGAGAAGCCACTCTGAAGTTTATGTACCACGATGTAAAACTCCGAAAAACTCTGCATGCATTTTGCTCAGAAATGAAATCCAATACGCAGAACCCCAAATATGTTACAAATAAACACTGAGCATACTCCTTTTACGACAATGCACTCAGTTTATCAGTCGAAGTTCACATATGTAAAGAATGTTACACACGGAAGATGACAAAGCATTTAATTGCAGATACACAAGTGATCACTATTATATTCAAATAAAGAAGAGAAAAGGATGGTTTGGCCCTAATCATGACGTCCTATTTCAGGCATGACCTGCTGCATACCACATTGTGGTTCAAGCAGACGGAAGCCAGGTCAAGAAAGGAACTTTGCACTCCACGAAATACCATCAGACCCGGATGAACGAGTGAGCTGGCTACAAGCAATCAAGAGAGATGACTGGCTGCCATCAACCTACTCCATGGTTTGCAGTCGGCACTTTGTGCCATCCGACTATGTTGAGGGCAAACGCCGGAAGCTGAAGAAGGGCGCTATCCCAAGCATCTTTTGGAGCATGCCGCCTTCAAATATCACTAAGATGAAGGACGCTATCAGAAGGAAGTGCAGCACTCCATATTCATCAGAAGTTCCCAAGAAGAGGCAATGCCTGGCCACAGGCAGTTCGCAAGTGACTGATGCGACATCAAGCTCTACACTGGACACTCCACCTACCTCCTTTCTGTGCAATGAAGGTGCTGAACGAATCCAAATCATCTGGACATCTCCAGCGAGCACCTTGGAGCCTCAAAACAGGCAGGCATGAGAAGAGTCAGATAGCAGGTCATGCCAACAGCCAGTGCTGTTCACCCATCAAGGAACACAGGCAGACGTTCGAAAGATGTCAGCACAAATAACCATAGAAAAACGTAAATGGGACCCGACGAGTCACCACCCTGCGAAACCAAGTGGAGAGACTCAAGATGTTGACAGATACAAAAAAGACTTGGAAAAGTTGCAAAACCTGAGGGAAGAAGATGATGTCAAAAATTTTCTTAATATCCGCGAACAAGCAAAGTGAAAGAACATGTCGGCTATGTTTCTAGTCGACCAAGTAAAGAACTACCATAAGAAAAGCCCAAGGTGGACAGAACATACCATCCGTCACTGCATTTTGCTGAGACACATTTCTACAAAGGCCTATGAACACATAAGGTCTGAAGAGCTTTTTAAACTTCCCAGCAGGAACACTCTGCAAAGCTACATTGGAGCTGCCTCAGGTCAAACTGGCTTCAGCGACTTGGCGAAGGCTCGGCTTCAAACAGAACTGCACAACCTGGCAAACACACAATCAAGGACATGTTCTCTCATTATTGATGAAATGCAGATCAAACAGAGCTTGCAGTACAACAAGCAGCAGGATGTCTTTGTGGGCCAAGTGGACCTGGGACCATTGACTGAAAAGACCAAGCAGCCCATCCTGGCAAATTCGCTGCTGTGCTTTCTCATGAATGGGCTCAGCATTCCATACCGGATCCCTGTTGCCTACTTTTTTACCAAAGGGTTAACAGGAACCGAACTGGCCAAGCTTCTGCTTCATGTCTTGGGCAAGGTGGAAGACGTTGGCTTCAAAGTACTCCGGATTGTAACTGACAATCACCGAGTGAATGTCAATGCAATGAAGCAGCTTTGTGGGGGACTCCTTACACATCATATCCTGCACCCAAATGACCCGGAGAGGATTCTGTTCCTTAGCTTTGACTATGTTCACTTCTTGAAGAATATACGGTCCCAATTCCTGGAACGCAGCTTTGGAAAGGACAATGAGATCAAGTCCTTCTACCTCAAGAAGTTGTACGAGCTCCAGAGAGAGGCGGCTGTCAAGCCAGTCAGGTTGCTGAGTCGCAAACATCTTTTCCCTAGCAACATAGATAAAATGAATGCCAAGAGATCAGTCCAGCTCTTCTCCCCTGAAGTGACCGCTGTGCTCAAGCACCTCCAGGAACAAGCTGGCCATACGAGTGACCTACTGTATGCGGACGCAGGATCTTCTTCATGGACTCTGTGTACCGCTGGTTCATTTTGCATGATACCAGTAACTGCACACAACACATACACCAACGCTATCCAGATGTGCGCTAGTATGATCATCCAGACGACCCTCGTCTGGAATGGCTCGAGTTTTCATTCCCAGCCTATCTCGAGCAGATCAAGAGCACAGCAAGCCCATCACAGTTCCTGACAGAAACCTACGAAGCCCTTCTCTTGACAACATACTCGATAGTTGCATGTGTACAACACTTTCTAACCAAGGAAGACTTTGGATTTGTACTGACCAGGAAATTCAGCAGCGACGCCATTGAGTCCCTGTTTGGCTCATTGAGTCGATCTCAAGGGTGCAATGACCAGCTTAGCGTTCGGGCTGCAATCTCAGGAATTGAAAAGATCCTGAAAACTGGTCTCATCACAGCTTCCCAGCAGAGCAATGTGTCACATGCTGCCTCGACCTCATCGGGTATGACTTCAGCAATTCGGTGCATACCACCAACAGTGTCAGCTGCCACGCCATTCCAACTTCCAGAGAGTGCAGCGGAAATTTTAGAAAAGCTGTCAGATCCCAACGTACAATACCCGCCAAGCTTCGAGCTGTCGGCGACAGCGCACGTTGGGGGCTACATTGCCCGTGTTGTACAAGAACACTTTTCATGCTTCTTCTGCATACCTCTTCTCACAAAGCCGAAGACAAACAGTGCCTTGCAAGGGATCACAAACCACCTGGACCGGGGAGGCCTTTTGTATCCATCAGATGACCTTGCCCACCTTCTCAATGTCCTCAGGATGTTTGCAGCGGATGTGTTGTCGTACAACCTCAGGAATTGGCAGCCCCTCGAAACTTTTGTGAAGTTTGCACTGCCAGCAGTGTATGACTCTCCTTTGCTGCTCTGCCCAACGAACAACAAGGCACATTGCCGTGAACTGATCCATCTTGTCTGCACAAAGTTCTTCAGACCGCTCCTTGTTAACTATGCCTTCTGTCACACAGACAGGAACGATGGACAATGAAGGCAATTTCGGATATTTTTTTAGTGATTGGACTGGGTTCCGGGAACGTTCCAGGCTACGTCGCCCAGATTTCAGCCGAAACCGGCGCCTGTGTGCCGCGCAAATCAATTAAACAGTCGCGGTGATAATCGCACCGGGACCGATCGAGGCGACGCCCCGAGCGTTGCGGGAGAAACCAGCAGAAGCGGAGGTCACGTGACCCTGCGGGGCCTGGAAGTTTGTCGTCACAAGAGACGCGTCAGCGATTGGTCGAAACGACAGACGTGCCCCCGGTCTCGCTTTGGTTCGTGGTTTTTACGAACACTGTTCTAATTCCACTTGAATAACCATGAAAACTATAAACCGAACCGAAAATAATTACTAAACCGTAAATAAAACACCATAATTATTTTACTATTTGCTACACTTCACGCGAAACGGGCAACGAGCAACTATGTGGAAACAAAACACATAAAATAAAGAACACAGCGCGGCACACGCGGGAGACTTTTGGTTTTAGGTGGCGGTGCCGTGTTCACTTTAGGAACACGGCACGGTAGCCATGCCAAATTTGTGCGCTGTTGAAGGATGTTCAAACGGTCGACTGAAGACCCGTGATCGTTCGGGCAACTCTAGTTTTCACCTACTCCCAAGCGACGAAGCATTGCAAAGCCTCTGGTTGAACAGCCTTGTCTTGCGCAGAGGTCTCGGCGATGGCGTCAGAATTTGTTCGCTGCATTTTCGGTCAGGAGACTTTGAACAGAACCTTCAGGTTAGCCGGAGTCTGGGCGTAGGTGCGAAGCGACCCCGTTTGAGGAAGGATGCTATCCCTTCCGTTGCACCGCGCGATGAGTCCCCACCGTCCCCGCCGAAGCGGGTGAGTGTATTTATGTGTTGATTATTATTTGCTTAATTTCAATAACTCTGCGGCCACTGCTGAAATGGTGTCTGTCTTTCATACAATTAACATACGAGATTTTACATATTATCGTAAGTGTACGATCTCGCGCAGTGAATAACGCAGCGTCCAGCGTTACGTCCGCAGGAACCCGAAATAAAAATCGCAGTGTTTAGCGTTACGTCCACTAAACCAGAAATATAAATTAAAGTTACGTCCTACGTAACTTTGCCCCAAACCCGCCCACGCGGCCTTATTGAATGCTACGCTTTACGGCCGATACATGACGTAAATACAAAAATAGCGTGAATTACTACTTCGTTACGTCCGATGCAGCATTCATTAATTGCTTAAATCGCGACTCCCTCTGTGCCTCCAGGTTTGTTGATGTTCCTCGTGTATCGGGGCTGCTGAGACCGGGGACGTATTTTCAATTTTCATATTGCGTTACGTCGGACTAACTCGAAATCTTGGGGTAAAGTTACGTCGGACGTAACTAAATTAATTTCGGGTTCCGTCTGACGTAACGCTAGACACTGCGACAAACTAATTGCTCATGACCGCCAGCCAATTACGTTTACGCATATAACGCTCAATAGGGAGCTTTAGTAGATGGTTTTCAGAGGCCCGCTACCTCCGCTTTAGCCCCGTGCTTGCGCTTCAGAGCACGCTTCGAAGTGGCAGCACGAGCTCCTGCTACAAGCAGCGTTGCCTAAAAACTTGATTTACTTAAACTATCTATCAGAGAGTTTTCGTGGACCGTATTTTCTGGCAACGCTTGTGTAGCGGGTGCTCGCACTGCCACTTTGAAGCCCGCTCTCGCGCGCGCCTAGAGTGATTGCAGGTCTCTAAAACTATTATAAAAAGAGTTTTTTTTTGTTTGTTTAGTGACGAGTTTATTTTGTTAGGTTTCAGAAAAGCGATTTGTGCAGTTGATCATGATTCCAGATTTCTAGTTTTTTCCTTTTGTCCCACACAAGGTAAATTTTTCCAAATAATTTGTCTCCAGGACACAAGCAATGAAGATTGTGCAGTCCCCAGCATGTGCCTCCAGCCGAGGAGCACAACCATGGTCAGTCATACCTATTTCTAGCATTCGCAATTTTGTTTTCTCGGTTCAATAAACAGAAATTATGATTCATGATCTCTATCGGGTTGTGTCGAATTGAGCCCAGGGCTTCTCAAACAGCGTGATCAGTTTTGTTGTGTATATGAGCATGAATCAAGTTGGGGTTGTCGATCAAACTACCTGCAAGATGCGAGCAGCGAGGACTGCATGTCCCACAGCACGTGCCTCCAGCCGAGGAACGCAACCATGGTCAGTCATACCTATTTCTAGCATTCGCAATTTTGTTTTCTCGGTTCAATAAACAGAAATTATGATCCATGATCCCTATCTGGTTGTGTCGAATTGAGCCCAGGGCTTCTCGAACAGCGTGATCAGTTTTGTTGTGTATATGAGCATGAATCAAGTTGGGGTTGTCGATCAAACTACCTGCAGGATGCGAGCAGCGAGGACTGCATGTCCCACAGCACGTGCCTCCAGCCGAGGAACGCAACCATGGTCAGTCATACCTATTTCTAGCATTCGCAATTTTGTTTTCTCGGTTCAATAAACAGAAATTATGATCCATGATCCCTATCTGGTTGTGTCGAATTGAGCCCAGGGCTTCTCGAACAGCGTGATCAGTTTTGTTGTGTATATGAGCATGAATCAAGTTGCGGTTGTCGATCAAACTACCTGCAGGATGCGAGCAGCGAGGACTGCATGTCCCACAGCACGTGCCTCCAGCCGAGGAACGCAACCATGGTCAGTCATACCTATTTGTAGCATTCGCAATTTTGTTTTCTCGGTTCAATAAACAGAAATTATGATCCATGATCCCTATCGGGTTGTGTCGAATTGAGCCCAGGGCTTCTCGAACAGCGTTATCTGTTTTGTTGTGTATATGAGCATGAATCAAGTTGGGGCTCTACTGCAGGTTGCGAGCAGCGAGGACTGCATGTCCCACAGTACGTGCCTCCAGCCGAGGAACGCAACCATGGTCAGTCATACCTATTTCTAGCATTCGCAATTTTGTTTTCTCTGTTCAATAAACAGAAATTATGATCCATGATTCCTATCGGGCTGTGTCGAATTGAGCCCAGGGCTTCTGGAACAGCGTTATCTGTTTTGTTGTGTATATGAGCATGAATCAAGTTGGGGTTGTCGATCAAAGTACCTGCAGGATGCGAGCAGCGAGGACTGCATGTCCCGCAGCACGTGTCTCCAGCCGAGGAATGCAACCATGGTCAGTCATACCTATTTCTAGCATTCGCAATTTTGTTTTCTCGGTTCAATAAACAGAAATTATGATCCATGATCCCTATCGGGTTGTGTCGAATTGAGCCCAGGGCTTCTCGAACAGCGTTATCTGTTTTGTTGTGTATATGAGCATGAATCAAGTTGGGGTTGTCGATCAAACTACCTGCAGGATGCGAGCAGCGAGGACTGCATGTCCCGCAGCACGTGTCTCCAGCCGAGGAATGCAACCATGGTCAGTCATACCTATTTCTAGCATTTGCAATTTTGTTTTCTCGGTTCAATAAACAGAAATTATGATCCATGATCCCTATCTGGTTGTGTCGAATTGAGCCCAGGGCTTCTCGAACAGCGTGATCAGTTTTGTTGTGTATATGAGCATGAATCAAGTTGGGGTTGTCGATCAAACTACCTGCAGGATGCGAGCAGCGAGGACTGCATGTCCCACAGCACGTGCCTCCAGCCGAGGAACGCAACCATGGTCAGTCATACCTATTTCTAGCATTCGCAATTTTGTTTTCTCGGTTCAATAAACAGAAATTATGATCCATGATCCCTATCTGGTTGTGTCGAATTGAGCCCAGGGCTTCTCGAACAGCGTGATCAGTTTTGTTGTGTATATGAGCATGAATCAAGTAGGGGTTGTCGATCAAACTACCTGCAGGATGCGAGCAGCGAGGACTGCATGTCCCACAGCACGTGCCTCCAGCCGAGGAACGCAACCATGGTCAGTCATACCTATTTCTAGCATTCGCAATTTTGTTTTCTCGGTTCAATAAACACAAATTATGATCCATGATCCCTATCTGGTTGTGTCGAATTGAGCCTAGGGCTTCTCGAACAGCGTGATCAGTTTTGTTGTGTATATGAGCATGAATCAAGTTGGGGTTGTCGATCAAACTACCTGCAGGATGCGAGCAGCGAGGACTGCATGTCCCACAGCACGTGCCTCCAGCCGAGGAACGCAACCATGGTCAGTCATACCTATTTCTAGCATTCGCAATTTTGTTTTCTCGGTTCAATAAACAGAAATTATGATCCATGATCCCTATCTGGTTGTGTCGAATTGAGCCCAGGGCTTCTCGAACAGCGTGATCAGTTTTGTTGTGTATATGAGCATGAATCAAGTTGGGGTTATCGATCAAACTACCTGCAGGATGCGAGCAGCGAGGACTGCATGTCCCACAGCACGTGTCTCCAGCCGAGGAACGCAACCATGGTCAGTCATACCTATTTCTAGCATTCGCAATTTTGTTTTCTCGGTTCAATAAACAGAGATTATGATCCATGATCGCTATCTGGTTGTGTCGAATTGAGCCCAGGGCTTCTCGAACAGCGTGATCAGTTTTGTTGTGTATATGAGCATGAATCAAGTTGGGGTTGTCGATCAAACTACCTGCAGGATGCGAGCAGCGAGGACTGCATGTCCCACAGCACGTGCCTCCAGCCGAGGAACGCAACCATGGTCAGTCATACCTATTTCTAGCATTCGCAATTTTGTTTTCTCGGTTCAATAAACAGAAATTATGATCCATGATCCCTATCTGGTTGTGTCGATTTGAGCCCAGGGCTTCTCGAACAGCGTGATCAGTTTTGTTGTGTATATGAGCATGAATCAAGTTGGGGTTGTCGATCAAACTACCTGCAGGATGCGAGCAGCGAGGACTGCATGTCCCACAGCACGTGCCTCCAGCCGAGGAACGCAACCATGGTCAGTCATACCTATTTGTAGCATTCGCAATTTTGTTTTCTCGGTTCAATAAACAGAAATTATGATCCATGATCCCTATCGGGTTGTGTCGAATTGAGCCCAGGGCTTCTCGAACAGCGTTATCTGTTTTGTTGTGTATATGAGCATGAATCAAGTTGGGGCTCTACTGCAGGATGCGAGCAGCGAGGACTGCATGTCCCACAGCACGTGCCTCCAGCCGAGGAACGCAACCATGGTCAGTCATACTTATTTCTAGCATTCGCAATTTTGTTTTCTCTGTTCAATAAACAGAAATTATGATCCATGATCCCTATCGGGTTGTGTCGAATTGAGCCCAGGGCTTCTCGAACAGCGTTATCTGTTTTGTTGTGTATATGAGCATGAATCAAGTTGGGGTTGTCGATCAAACTACCTGCAGGATGCGAGCAGCGAGGACTGCATGTCCCGCAGCACGTGTCTCCAGCCGAGGAATGCAACCATGGTCAGTCATACCTATTTCTAGCATTTGCAATTTTGTTTTCTCGGTTCAATAAACAGAAATTATGATCCATGATCCCTATCTGGTTGTGTCGAATTGAGCCCAGGGCTTCTCGAACAGCGTTATCTGTTTTGTTGTGTATATGAGCATGAATCAAGTTGGGGTTGTCGATCAAACTACCTGCAGGATGCGAGCAGCGAGGACTGCATGTCCCACAGCACGTGCCTCCAGCCGAGGAACGCAACCATGGTCAGTCATACCTATTTCTAGCATTCGCAATTTTGTTTTCTCTGTTCAATAAACAGAAATTATGATCCATGATCCCTATCGGGTTGTGTCGAATTGAGCCCAGGGCTTCTGGAACAGCGTTATCTGTTTTGTTGTGTATATGAGCATGAATCAAGTTGGGGTTGTCGATCAAACTACCTGCAGGATGCGAGCAGCGAGGACTGCATGTCCCGCAGCACGTGTCTCCAGCCGAGGAATGCAACCATGGTCAGTCATACCTATTTCTAGCATTCGCAATTTTGTTTTCTCGGTTCAATAAACAGAAATTATGATCCATGATACCTATCGGGTTGTGTCGAATTGAGCCCAGGGCTTCTCGAACAGCGTTATCTGTTTTGTTGTGTATATGAGCATGAATCAAGTTGGGGTTGTCGATCAAACTACCTGCAGGATGCGAGCAGGGAGGACTGCATGTCCCGCAGCACGTGCCTCCAGCCGAGGAATGCAACCATGGTCAGTCATACCTATTTCTAGCATTCGCAATTTTGTTTTCTCGGTTCAATAAACAGAAATTATGATCCATGATCCCTATCGGGTTGTGTCGAATTGAGCCCAGAGCTTCTCGAACAGCGTTATCTGTTTTGTTGTGTATATGAGCATGAATCAAGTTGGGGTTGTCGATCAAACTACCTGCAGGATGCGAGCAGCGAGGACTGCATGTCCCACAGCACGTGCCTCCAGCCGAGGAATGCAACCATGGTCAGTCATACCTATTTCTAGCATTCGCAATTTTGTTTTCTCGGTTCAATAAACAGAAATTATGATCCATGATCCCTATCGGGTTGTGTCGAATTGAGCCCAGGGCTTCTCGAACAGCGTTATCTGTTTTGTTGTGTATATGAGCATGAATCAAGTTGGGGTTGTCTATCAAAGTACCTGCAGGATGCGAGCAGCGAGGACTGCATGTCCCACAACACGTGCCTCCAGCCGAGGAACGCAACCATGGTCAGTCATACCTATTTCTAGCATTCGCAATTTTGTTTTCTCGGTTCAATAAACAAATTATGATCCATGATCCCTATCGGGTTGTGTCGAATTGAGCCCAGGGCTTCTCGAGCAGCGTGATCAGTTGTGTATATGAGCATGAATCAAGTTAGGGTTCTACTGCAGGATGCGAGCAGCGAGGACTGCATGTCCCGCAGCACGTGCCTCCAGCCGAGGAACGCAACCATGGTCAGTCATACCTATTTCTAGCATTCGCAATTTTGTTTTCTCGGTTCAATAAACAGAAATTATGATCCATCATCACTCTCTCTTTGTGTCGATGCAGCCACGGCTGACAAGGACTCTAGCAACACAAGTCCGAAGAAAAATTCGCTCGGTGCTCACACAGACACGCCCGCAGACTCGGTCGGCATGTAAGTGTTGAGTTCATTGTGAATGGTTGTAATATATGTGTGGGCCAGCCACAGGGATTACGAATGGCCTGCATCCTTTTCAGATGTTCAAGTGAACACGGTCATAAGTGTGTCACGTGCAGTGCAAACAGATATATCTGCAATGGGCGAAGCCTGCGATCTCCTAGACCGGCTTCATGGCACCTCATCCCCAACTTCCATGCAAGTGCCGCTTCCATCAGAGTTTATTCTCTCGGCTCCACCTCGCGAACCATTTGGAAGCCTGAGCCAATTTCCCAGACCAGAGGCTGCGACCATCTCTCCAGAAGATGACTTAACTGGTGAACGCCCAAGTTCACCACCTTCCTCAGAGCCACCGAGCATGTACCACAACGATGATCCTACATATGACCCTGCCTATGAACCATCGTACGACAAGAGTTCTGAAATGTGAGTACAGGGCCTTCAGCAAGTGATAGGTTGTTTAATAGAGTAGCCAAGTGTTCCTAGCCACCAACAGCTGATGAATGACTAGTCAGCTGTTTTGGGTGCCTTGCCTTAGTATGACCATGCGGTCTTCAATGGTGCTTTCACTTCTGTATCATTAGATACAGAAGTGGGCGCGGCAGCACCCGAGCGATGCAGCCACGAATGAACCTTTTCGTCTATCTCGTGCAGGCTCTTGCTTTTCACGCCAGCACCATCCACCGCGATGGAAGAGGGACCATCGAGTGGCCCGTAACGGACTCCTGCTTGGATGCAGAGATGACTCGTCGCGGTCACTACAGCAACGGCGTATCAGGTGACGCGGAAACCACCAACGGGAACAACACTGTGTTTTTTGAACTAAACCCTATGTCACCGACATACGCCGAATGGTCATCGGTATCAGCGAGATTCTGGAACAACGCCCCCCTCGATTTGCGCTTCAGTGGGCACGGCAGCACCCGAGCGATGCAGCCACGAATGAACCTTTTCGTCTTTATCGTGCAGGTACGTAGAAATGTATCATCATTTAAGAGCGATTGTGTGTTTTTGGTGGTGCTGCCTTGCCCGCAGGTGTTGTGTCATTCGGTCGCAGAGTGTTTTGATTCTTTTTGCCTCATGGTGTTGTTGCTGAGTGGAGATGTAGAGTCGAATCCGGGACCAACGGTTTCGGAACAGCTGAGAGAAATCCTAGCTAATCAAGAACAATCCACACGTGATCTCGCATCGATCAAAGAAGCTCTAGGTAGGCACATATCTGATACTGGTAAACGGTTGGTTGCAATTGAAGGAAAAATGGAGGCATTTTCGAAAAGTGCAGAAAAAATGGAAAAATGTACCACTGAAGTTAAGGAGTTGAAACAGCAAATAGGATGGCTGACAGATAAGGTTGACGTTTTGGAAACCGCAGGAGGAGAAACAATAGAATCGTCTACGGTGTACATGAGCGAGAGGGTGAAACTGAGGTATCACTTAAAGAATCTGTATTAAGGGGGGACGCGGGCTTTGAAAACCGGAAAATCGCGAAAAAGTCGATTTTTAGAAAACCCTATTTTTCGGTTGTATATCTCATAAACTACCTTCTCTGTAATTATCAGCACCAAATACAACGGGGAAATATTTAAAAACAATTATTTACGAGGCCTGAATAGCATCCAAGTGACGGTCAAGCGTCAAAATCAACCCCAACTTCGCGCGCTCGCCATTTTCGACGCGTTGAGCCGACGGCCGCCATCTTAGTCTTGTTTTGAACGTGAATTCTTTCTCTTTTTTTTGCCAGCTCCCAAAATGGCGTCGGCCGCGTGGTTACGGCGTGGTCGCCGTTCTTCCATGTCGCAATCGCGAGAACGCGATTGGACAGAGCGCGCGCTCGAGGAGCGTGCGGGGGAGCGCGCGACTGCTATTGGCTGGGACGCGATTTCTATTGGCTGGGAGCGCTCTCCTCTTCCGTTTCTCCTGCTGTTGCCGCTTGCGTCGTCTGCTTTTGGTAGTGGTCTGCTTGCACGCGCTCTTGCTTTGTCAGCTCCACTTCGTTTTTCGCCATCTTTACGATCGTTTTCCGAACTTTCTTCGAGTAGTTTCGTGTAGCGTGCCCGTCTGTTTCGTGGTCGCACATGATGCGGGGTTCGAAGTACAAGACGGTGCATGCGTTTGGCGCGCGGAAGCGGTCCATGAAGTTAGTGCGGATGGCGAAGTTGGAAGTTTCTGCACGGCGTGCCGTCAATGATGATCGCGTCAACACTTCCAGTGATGGATTTTCTGTGCCATCGGCTGTCTTCGAGGAAGAACGCATCGCCCCGCTCACGCCTGGAGTACCGAGCATGCCGACCGTTGTGGTTCCTCCCGAGATCGCGGGTCCCAGCGCCCGTCTTCCGCCTGCCGCGACAAGTAGGAGCGCGTCTTCTAGCACCCATCTGTGGACGCATTTCCTGACACGTGAGGAGATCGAAGCAGAAGCTAGACATTGTGATATTGCTCAAGCCGAACTTGGAGCTATGCCAGCAAACTGCACTGCATGAAGCGGTGTTGAGGTTCAACGCCGGCTGCTACAAGGCAACTGCAGAAATATCGGTTGCAGTGGAACTTCAGCCGACCCATCTAGCCCTCCAACGAGCTGCCGAGAAAGATGCCCTACGTCTGCACAAGGTTAGCAAACGACATCAAGAGAATTTGGAAACGCGGAACAAGAAGAAAGTGCGCAAGAACACTTACTGACTATTCTGCAGGGTCATTCTAAAGCTGAAAATCTGCGTGCAACTTTCAAGTGCTGTTTTCTCAGAATGGATTTTTTTCACTCGTGGCTGCTCGTCCCAGCGATATCTCAGGAACTGATGAATGGATTTTCGTGCTGTCTTTTTTATTCTGTTCTCTAATAACTTTGTGAGGGCATAACAGAGCCCTTTTTTTAGAAAACTGTACTTAAAATTTATAATAAAAAAATGAAATTTGGTGAATGTGGGTTTCATTGACTACACAAAATTCAAAGTTGCGTTAAAATGTTTCAACAAAGAAATTTAAAAAAAGGGCTCTGTTATGCCCTGGGGAATGTATCCAGGGGTCATCATAACACATTTTACGCCGCTACTACCTTTTTCAAATTCTCCAGACCTGGGATAAGGAATGCATATGGACGATTTTGATAAATATTTGTAACTTGAGAAATAATATGCACAGCTCTATGAAACTTTGCAGTTACTCTTATGTCTGTGCTATAAACACCGTCTGTAAATTTCGTTCAGATATCTCTAGAAATAAGAAATTTCATATTTATTCCCCACCTCCCTTAAAGGAAATATTTAAGATAAGCTGGGAGTTACAGTGACCAGTGTGGAACGGATTCACAGACTTGGTAGGAAAGCACCTAACAAATCCCACCCTGTCATCCTAAGGCTGTATGATTTCAATCAGAAGCTTGATATTCTGAAAAACGCGCGGAAGCTAAAGGGAACTTCAATTTCTATATCAGATGATTTTTCCAGAAGGGTACAAATGATCAGAAAGCAGCTGTGGATGACGGTGAAGGATTCAAGGAGACCTGAGGACAAGGTGTCTTTACGGTACGATAAGCTGGTCATTAATAACGAAACATATATTTGGGATATGGATCAGATGCGCAGGGTGAAGATTACAAGGACACCGGGGGATGACAGAAATTGACGTCGGAGAAAGAAATGTCGCGAGTTCAAATTGATTAATTTAAATGCTAGGAGTGTAGCTAACAAAGTCGAGGATATAGAGCAGATACTACTGGTGCATTCTCCTGATGTAATGATAGTCACTGAAACATGGTTAAATGCTAATATATTAAATTCGGAAATATGCCCCCCTGATTACAACGTGTTGAGAGAGGACAGATCCTCAAGAGGAGGTGGAGTGGCAATATTTTTCCGACAGGAGATATCTTGTAAACAACTGTGTGACATGTCTGACTTGGAATCTTTGTTGTGTAAGGTCGTTGTACACGGTGTATCATATGTAATTTGCGCATTCTACAGGCCACCAAATTCCCTATTAAACCTCATTCCACTTCTTAGTGATAAGCTAGATAATTATACAAACTTCAGGGGAAATTTTATACTAGCAGGGGACTTCAACTTACCCAACATAGACTGGTCCGAGATGACGGTTGGAACTGTTGACCATTTACATGGAGATGCTCTTCTGGAGGTTGCCTTTTCTCACAACTTAACACAAGTTGTTCATGAGTACACTCGAAGCCAGGGTTGCTCCCATTCAATCCTTGACCTTGTGTTTTTAAATGATAAGTTGAGCGATCTTTATTATACGTGTAAAATACATGAGGGTATTTCAGATCACAAAATGATTGAAGTGAATATACCGGTGAAAATTATGAATATTCACAATACCAAATTTTTTAGAGTACCGGATTACCAAAAGGCTGATGATGTTTCCATACTGGACCATTTGGAACTGTCACTTGAAAGGTTTACTAATTATGTGGATACTTATGGCGCGGATGTAGATCAAATATGGTTGTACTTTGTGAGCATTGTTAACACCTGTATCAAGCGATACGTGCCTTTCAGAAATAAGAAAACAAATGTGAAAAATCCATGGGTTAGTAGAGATATTCTTCACCTGAAGCGTAAGATTGCCCGAGTAAAAAAAAAAAAAGCGACATAGTGCTGTACACGCTCTTAATGAAGCAATTTCCACCTTAAGTGCCAAACTAAAAAAAATGATAGCTGAATCAAAACAATATTTTTATAACGTAACGCTGAGATCATTTCTTTCAAATGCCCCGCAAAAATTTTGGAGATATGTCTCGATTTCCAAGAGGGATACAGTGATAACAACAGTAAGTTTAAACGAATTCAACACATTTTTCGAATCGATATATACTGTGGATGACGGACATCTCCCTGAAATAGCCCCCGATACGTCTCCAGGCATTATCGACGTAGTAGTCACCGAGGAGGGCATTTTTCATTTATTAAATAACGTTGACCCAAAGAAATGTCCTGGTGCTGATGCCATTCATAATGAGTTTTTGAGACGTTACGCAGAGTGGATTTCGAAGTATCTATTCATAATTTTTAAGGTGTCACTGCGTTACGGTGTACTACCAATGCAATGGAAAGTTGGGAAAATTATTCCAATTCACAAATCTGGAGACAGAAACAATCCATCAAACTATAGACCGGTATCTTTAACTAGTACGTGTAGTAAACTTCTAGAACATATAATGTTTTCGCATATGATTCAATATCTTGATAATCACAATATTCTTACCCCGTTCCAACATGGTTTTAGAAAATCATTATCGACGAGTACACAGCTAATTGAGCTACTTCATGAACTTGCAAATAGAATAAATGACAGGGGGCAGGCTGACTTAATTTTTCTTGACCTCTCAAAGGCGTTCGATCGCGTATCGCATCCTAAACTTCTTCTGAAGCTATCGGCCATTTTTAAAAACGATCAGTTAATTACGTGGATGACCTCTTATCTCTCCAATAGATCGCAATATGTATGTCTTGAGGATGGGACTTCTTCACTTCTGCCAGTAACATCAGGGGTACCACAGGGTTCCGTGCTGGGGCCACTTTTATTTTTAATTTATATCAATGACATCGTTAAGGATGTTCAAGTTCCGGTTAAATTATTCGCGGATGATTGTGTCATTTACTCTAAAATAAAATCACCTCAAGATCAGGTAGCACTTAATGAGGCTTTATTAAAAATTAAGGAATGGTCAGATAAATGGCAAATGAAAATAAACAACGATAAAACCGTTGCAATGACAATTACTTGGAAAAAGAATCCCTTGAAATATTGCTATTCAATAGATGCGATTCCCATCAAATTTGTTGACCACTATAAGTATCTTGGAGTGACAATAACCAGTAAACTTTGGAACCAGCATATCGATGACATAACGAATAAGGCCAGGGCAAAATTATACACATTAAGACGCACCTTAAAATTTGCGGATAATGAAACAAAGAAGGCTGCTTACCAATCAATTGTACGACCTATTCTAGAGTACGCGCACACAGTATGGTATCCGCACACGGCAGAAGGAATTAGTAAACTTGAAAGCGTACAAAGACTGCCTGGAAGGTTTATATTTAATAAGTTCAGGTATAGTGTGTCTGCCTCGAGCTTACTAGAGCAAGCTAACATCCCGCCATTGGAGGTTAGAGCTAAAATAGACAGACTGCGAAATTTATATTATTTTATTAATGGAATCTTTAATGTCAGTAGTAATATATACATACAATTTTCATCAAGCGGATCAGCTAGACTGAACCATACTAGGACCATTAAACAATATCCTCTTAAGCACGGTGTCTTCAAATATTCTTTTTTTCCTCGGACAATCAGTGAATGGAATTCTTTGACGAATGAAATAGTCACCCTCCCATCACTTGATATTTTTGTTGAAGCAATCGCTTCCGCCACGAGAAAGTGCTCATAAGTACATCACATCATGCCATTATGTAACCACCCCTGCTATGGCTCACAGATGTGAGCCGCAGTATTCTTTAAATAAAAAAAAGCTTTGCAGCATCAGCAAGATATGACAGAAGATGGGTTCCAGTTGACAACGGCAACCTAAAGAGAGCCTTTATTATGTATAAAATTTTTTCCATTCTGGTTATACTTAACCCTGTTATATTTTGTTGCAGCGAGGACGAGGAAACCGATGAAGGCAACCCACAAGGGGAGAACAAGTACATTGTGTATGAAAGCTGCCTGCTTGACTGTTTCAAGGTGTGCGTAACATGTCTAGCACTCTGCAAGCCATCACTAAGTTTGAGCGGGAGCTGCCTTACTGTTCTCACGGAATGCTGCAATGGCGATCGGCACTCTTGGTCAAGCCGGCCATACGTGGTACGGAAGGCAGCTGGGAACATTGATCTTTGTGCTGGCATACTGTTCTCTGGTTCGAGCCCTGCCCCAGCACTCAGGATGATGCGGCTGATGAACCTTCGGGTCATCTCAGAACGCACTTTCCATGAGTAACAGGAAGCGTACCTCCTCCCTGCGGTGCAAACAGTTAGTGCACATCTTTTCTGCTTCAGTCGTAATGTAGTTTCCTAAGTAACACCAATTTTCGCTGTGCACCAACCCCAACACAATGCAGCATGCCCTCTTTAGAGTGATCGCATTTGTTTGGCCGTGCAAGCTGCATTAGGCCCCCTTTGAGTTGATTTTTTCTTCCATGCATATATGTATATGGAGTGGAAAACATCACAGTTATGCTTTCTGGCATACAAAAAAGCTGCTGCACTCTACGATAGAATACCGTGCATCCGCCCATGCCGCACTAAGCACCCTTCCCCAAAATTCGTAACATCTAAAAAATATGCACAGTACATATATATGAAAAATTGATGACCGCACTTGCGCGCATCCCCCATTTTTTCGCGATTATCTTCAAATTTTGAGTGGGCACTTGCTCGGTCATTATCTTACGGTATTCTGGTCTGGTTGACATACACCTTTTTCTAATTTCATTGTTACAAATGTCATTTTCAACATGTGCTTCCAGGTCTGGGAGAGCCAGAGAGATGAACATCTGGCAGCGCTTGCAGGAGCGCCCATGGACTTGTCTGGAGACGGACGATGTGATTCCCCAGGACACAGTGCAAAATTTCTAACCTACAGCTTCTATTCAAACCAATTGGGCAAGATACTTCACAGTGAACTGGTTCGAGTCAAAGAGGTAAAAACCCTCATAGCAGTTGCAATCTGCGAGCTAGTTGTTGGTAAATGTACTATACACATCTTTTGTTTTCAGTGTCCAGAGGCAAGCGCAAGCAGCAAGATGGAAAAAGAGGGGTGTATCCGTGGAATTGCGTTCCTCAAGTCGAGGGATGTCATCATTCGCTCTTTCACGACTGACAGACACTATGCAATCAAGGCACATATGAAACTACACGAGCCGACAATCCTGCATCTGTTTGATGTGTGGCATGCTGTAAAAGGTAATCCTAAAGAAGAAATTTCTTTTTTTTTTAGATAATGAAAACAACTTGCACATTCTGTCCCTTTGCTAAGTTTCTCAAAACCTTGAACCTTCCAGAGGGTTGATGCTGTTCTTACCATAGATTATCTGCTCTCAATGAGACCGCTGATAATAATTCTATCCCATCTTGACAAGCACAAAGAGAAATAAAATACCTGAGCCCTCATACGAAAGCTTTTCAAAGCATAGAATATGATTTCTAATTGCGCAGCTTCTAATCGCAATGTTTCTGTGACTAGCTAAAATGTTAAACTAAATGTGTCCTCTTCCCTTTATGAGATGGTACACAGCCATGCTAATTCACTATCTGCTAGCCAAACACAGATTTTTTGCACAGAGTGGAAACTTTGCCATCAGGAAAGGGGCATCACGACTGCAAGCATTTTGGTTGCGGTGCTTGTCTCTGTACAGGACTCAGGAAGAAGCTCACTGCTGCAAGCAAGACCGCAGGGTGCAAAGATCTGACACATTGGGTGAACCCTGTGTGCAATCACTTGTGGTGGTGCACAAATGCCAGTGGTGGCGACGGGGAGTTGCTCACCGCAGTGTGGCTGAGCGTCACCAACCATGTCTGTGACGTCCACATGGGCCACGGTCCAGTCTACCCGCGGTGCATGCACAAGGACCTCGGTGAAAAACAGTGGATTGCGCCTGGTTTGTAAAATTTTAATATGAGCATTCTGTTTACAGTGCTAAACAGTTCTACGTATATAAATCCTAATTATACATAGCTCGCAAACATTTGTGCAATGGAACTTGTTAATAAATTAATTTATGCTAAGAACATGTCTAAGTGAACAAATACCATCTGAAAGGAAAAGTTTGCTATCGAATTGCAATGTACACATTGAATGCTTAAATCCCTCCAGGCTCAGCTGCCCACAAGAAGCTGAAGGCGATTGCTACAGCACCCTTGTTTTTGAAGGACGTCAGGCAGCTGTCGCCTCACGCACAAACCTACGGCCTGGGGTCGTTTCACAGCGTTCTGAACAGATTCGCACCAAAATCAACAGCGTTTTCCTACGAATGCATGGCTGCACGGCAAGAGCCCTAAAGGTGCAAGGAAATATAACCATCCTGAAAATCACATTGCAAGCAATGACAGTTGCGGCGGCTTACAGTCCAACAAATGCCGTCAGACATCACAAAAAAGATATAGTAACATGTTTTTACACAAGGTGATTAAGACATTCAGGAATTAACGGCTTCAATTATGTTGCAGCACTACGATTGCCATAATGCATTTCAACAAAAACAGCGCTCGGCTGCAAGCTGAGACAAGGGAGGGGCACAAGCAGTGGCATGTGAAAGCCCCAAAAGCACGAAAAGGTGCACTAACTGTGTGCTCCCATAAGACACCCGTGACTTTTGGTAAGTGTAGCTCAATAACCAAAAAATTCAAGATAATTTGTCAAAATACAGAATTTAAAAGCCCTGTCAAACTGTACACAAAAGGTATACAGTTTGTGTGCACTACCCTGCATAAAACATTTTGGGCAGCTCTCATCCGCTCTGTTCAAAGAGCGAAAGTTCACGAAAGTGAGAGGGAGCAATGGCTGTGTAACAAAGCTCTGTCCTCACAGGTGGATGGCATGCTCCTTGATGGGTGGAAGCAACACCACCTAGATACAAGGTCTCTGCACTGATCCCTCTCCACACGGGAAAGATCAGTGCGGCGCAGTTATCATGGAGGGAGGGGTCTGCTTTCCACTCTGCCCATTATCGGAAAATATCATTGCTTCGTAGGGGAGACGGAGCAAATCAACAGCCACACCACCCGTTATTGCACACATATCATTATGTCGTAGCAAGAGAGTAACCAGGCCCTATCAGTGTCTAGCTGGTGTCGGTGGAAAGCACCTCCGACGTGAGCATATTCTTCATTGTAGCGAGTGTGGCAGTTACTGATTTAGCATTAAGATAATTTATTTTTGGCATAAATGCGAAGAATTTATGCATTTCTGGCAGACGAGAAAGGCAAGGCAGCAAGTGCTACAGCTATATCCTCCAATCGGAGCTTGGCGCCATGACATAAATGTAACTCTCTTTGCGAGGAGCAGACATACTTGTTCAATACTATCTCTTTCTGAATTCCAGGATATGTGGAAAAACTGCATCAACAAGTTCTGGAGCGCTGCAAGACACACCCGACTTTCAAAGTGGCACTTGCCGAGAGACCACCGAAAGTTCCCCCATCCTTTGTCAGTCCTGGACTAAGGCCATCCAAGGAGGAGCTTGTGGCTGCACGCAAAAAACGTTTTGCAAGGCCATAAGTCGAGGCAGGCAACCAGAGGAGGATGAATTACCAAGTTCTGCGATACTCATGTACAGTTCACCCAAGTATTCAGTACTACCATGGGAGCTTTGACCAACGAGATGGTCAGCACCATATCGCAGGCAAAGTCGCGATATAAGCTAGATTGGGCCTATATACAAAAATGGCAAAGCCTCGCCGATGCTGCCACATCACTCCATGACACTTCAAACTTCTGCATAAGAGACAAGTGACAGCGGCGACATGCACAGATAAGTTTCCGTGTTCTTTTTGTCATTTTCATGCAGAAGCATTAACTTCTGAGTCGCTGCATGGAACATTGTATACATATTTTTTAATCTTGTAAATGACTTTTTGCCTTATTTTAGCTAAATCCATTAGGTTGTTCCTTCGTTGAGATTATGAAGGTCTATATTACATAGGAAATGTATGGAATACTGTGCACACCAGTTGCAAGATGATTTTCTCTGTAGGCTGTCCAGCATTGTAGAATGTATATATGTTCTTTATAATGTCTTGTAAGAATATTATTAAGCTGCTTGTTTAAGACACTGTTCTTGTAAATATGTGAGAAGGTGAAGAGAACGGTGCTCCCTCCCAAAGGTTTACTTACAAGTATTTACATATGCGTCCAATGACATCAAAAGCTGCTGCATTCTTAGCTCGGTCTCGAGCTTGGCCTCGCTCCTGCTCCACTTATTTCTTTTCTAAATGGCGGCTGCTACAAGTACTACTCCCCCTCCAGCAACAAAGCTGTCCGAGAGTGCAGTGGTAGAGGTGCCCAGGTGGTGAAACGTCAGAGAGTCAGGGGCCCTGTGTAACTTGTGATTAGGAACATTTTCCGTGGAAGCGGCTGGAACAGGGGGCATGGATGCAAGTGAGGCTATTGCAAGACCATGCTGTGTAGTCTTAAAGCAAGAAAAAAGAATATTGGGGTGGGCTGGTTTAAGGCAACCAATTGATGTAGTGTCTTTTCTTCGTCTGTTGACGTCAAGTAGAAAGTACTTGTTGTGACGCTCAATAACCCTGAATGGACTGTCATAATGTTGGGCGCAGTGCTTGAGCTCATCAGATATGTACAGTAACTGACGCAGCTGTTTTTGAGAAGTGGTTGCTCGAAGAGTTTGCATGGCCGTCGTGAGCTGTGCAACATAGCTGGCAGGGTTGGCAGAGAGACTTGGACCAGCAGGGCCGATAAATTCGCCTCGTAGGCAAAAAGGCACGCGTAATGAATTATGCAGGACAGCAACCGAGGCCTTCTTTGTGAGCAATGCGGGGGCCCAAAAGCACCAATGTTGCAGTAGAATCTTTCTACAATGTCAGGAGCCACAAGGACGTATGCTGTTGTAAAAATAGGGGAGCATCCAAGTAGTTTCATGAGCTCCCGAAACAGAGCAGATTCAAACTGTTGCGCTCGGTCCGTTGTCACTGATAACAGCACACCAAATCAGCGAATCCAACCTACAACAAACGTCTTTGCAATTGTTTCTGCTGTGATGATGGGAATCAGAAATCTAGGCCAGTGGCTAAAACAGTCGATGCATGTAAATAGCTGTGTTTCAAATCGAGTGGTGGCAGGAGACCCACAATGTCAGCTGTATGTCATGAAAGCGCGCCGTTGATGTTGGAAAAGGCTGGTAAGGCACTGATGCATGGCAGTTAATTTCGGACTGCTGACAAGGCAGACAAGCCCAAGCCCAATCTCTTACATCTTTGTTGATGTCTGGCCACACAAAACGTTAAGTGAGGCACCGGTGAGTTGTTCGCACTCTGATGTGTGCCATGGAGTGCAAGGAGTCAAAGGCTCCTTACACTCCATGGCACACACAAATCAAAGGCCAACAGCAATATCCGAGGCATCTGCCCCGACGATGACAGGAAGATTACGGCTACGACAGATAAAGAAAGTTGCATCGGCGAGATCTTTTTTGAAGCATTTGATCTGATCGGACGGATATGTAAATACTTGTAGATAAATTTAGGTTGTGTCATTAGAGACCCGGATGTGATCAAAAGGGGCTGTCGTTCTTAGGTTGTCTCCAGCCCGACCTTGTGCGTGTTCTTCCTTTTCTATGTGCCGGCTGCTACATATGTACAAACGTAAATGGTACTTCAAAGGTGTTGGAGAAACTCGTGAACTGATTCTTTTACATACTAGGGCCACATATGTCACACATTAATATATGAATTGCTCTTGATCATATTTGCCCATTGTTTATATATTACTGGAAACACGGACTTCGGCATCTAGCGATATTATGTTATGTTTAAAAAGGGCAATGCAAACATCTTCATTCTTGTCTAATTACTGTGGAGCTTGTAACAAGGTCACACTGCCACAAACAAACAGATTGAACTGCGAGTTTTACAGCAGTACAACCCATCTTTTCATGTAACCTACCCCAATGTATATGGGCTTAGCATGCACAAAGCAATAGTGATAAACATCAATTTCGACATGCAGCCCAGGTATCGTAATAGCTACCACCTGAGCAGTGTCCAGCGAAACAGATGTCATGCGCTGCAGATTCAATTTAATTTATTATAAATACTGCAGACTCATGTTAGAGTCAAAGCAGGAGTAAACATCTGGGATCATTTAAGTAGACAATTGTGATCATTTGAGTTAGGAAAGGCACAATGAATGTCCTATGCTGCTTGATTACCAGTGAATGCTTGAGTTACAAGAGGTGGTGACCGGAACTGAGAGGATCTAGTATTGTTTTCCAGTGTTTATCCAGATCATAAATTTATTTTGTGACAGAAACCTCTACCAATATTCTGAAACTTACCATTTAGCGGTAACGAGGATACCTGAAACCTGTTGTGGTTTCGGAAGGAAACTCCTCCCTTATCCTGCCAACCAAACATGCCGGCAGGATCATCCTGTTCCCCCTACCAAGCCGCCGCCACAACCAGCGAACAAAAGTCCTGTAGGCCGTGTACCGGTACCGTCTGCATTAAAAGGAGGTCACATAACAGAAATTGAGCAATGATGCTTTCAGATACATTTCAATCATTTGATACAGAAGGCACCCTCAAGGAAGATTATCAATGAAGAAAAAGTCCTGAAATAAACATTTGAATTGCCGTGGCTAATACATTTTCAATGTACTCTGCGACGGATGTCAAACCGAAATTCGGATCCCACAAAACGGAACATTTGACGCAAAACTCAAAATATCACTCGTATGTACATGATACTTCAAAACTTCAAATGCACGGTCGAGTTTACTTGAAAAGAGGATAAAAAGGGTGCAATTGAATGAGGCATGCGACGTCGTGGTCCTTGTTTCCTCACTTTTCCTGAGAATGGGCAGCATATGTGGCAAGGACGTGAAGCAAAGACCGCGACGTCACACACCTAATTCGATCGGACTTCAAAAGTAGTCGTCTGTTCCGAGATATCGCTGTATGATTAGTGCCCTGTTTTCTGAAAGCTAAATTTCAGTTCAGCATACCTACAGCAGAGCATTGTAACAAGCTTGAGTGCTCAGTAGCACGTTAGTAAGGGTGTATACTTGAGATTACTATTTCCAACCATTGTGCAAGGTGAATGTCCAATAACTCTGTCAGATGCACTTGTTGTGAGTCACTCTAAATGTGAGCATATGGTGGTGCATGAAGCATATTGTGAGTTGTCTGGGCACTGAAGCTCTCACATCTTAGATTTGAGCCAAGATTTAAAAAAAATTAAAACATTTCATTTTTGAGATGCTGTTACACAGCATTTGCCACTGAAGACAAATACGCTGAAGGACAATTACCAAACGATCTTGCAGGGCTGTACATGCAAGACATTACTATGGCATATAGCCTAGCGCTAGCACCAAATTCCATTTCAGAATTACCCATGAATGACGATTTATTAGGTGCAGAGACGCATTTTATATAACCACACTCCTCAAGTTCGAGGCCCGCACCTTTCCTGCAAATGCTCGAATAATGCAGTGCCAAAAGAAAACCATAACAGCACTCCTCTCACCTGTGGATGTCCTCATGCATGGGATGTCCGTGACCCCTGAGCTCGAAATAGAGCAGGCGGAGCACCGGAATGCTCAAGCAGAGCATACTGAATTCTGGGTGCTCTGTGATGCATCCAGCTGGCTGAACGCGGGTCAATGCGGAATCCATTTCACGGCAGCATACGCACTCTGCCTCCGTGCCGTTATCTAACACAACGCAGTGGTTGCAGCTGCACCTGGATGGTGAGATTAGTGCGTCGTTGAGACGTATGTACGATGTAGTCATAACATTTATGAGAGGGAACACCCAATCGCGTGCCGCTCGGTACAGGCAGCGCGGTCTAGTGAGTGTTTATAACGATATCAAGGCGTTCCAGACGCGTGCATGATACCGCTATCAGCGCTGGCTAGACTTCTCGGCACGCGCTTGGGTGTTTCCTCTTATAGATCTTATGACTGTACCTATGTGAGTTCACCGAAGGAAGCAAAGAGTAGTTTCTTGAAATGATACAACCATGAAAACAATTCGGGAAAGTATATACTGCTTGAGTATACAGTGGATAACTAACTTCATTTCGTCACTCATGCAGGTGCTATAGGTACCACGAAAGTTGCCATTGCTCAGGTAATTTTACGCCACCGAGCTTGTACCATTATCTGCTCTGCAGAATCATGTCACCCGCGAGCCATTATTAAAACATTCCATGACAAAGAGGACCAACTGAAGGCTGATTGACACAACAACTTATTTAATTACGTTAGCTACGGGAGCTACAACCGCGGGTTCCCACAAAATCCATGCTTCCCATTCAGCCAGGCAACCAATTCAAGGTGTAGCTTGACAAGCGAACACGAAGAACGAACATTGCTTTGACTCTAGAGCACTAAGCACTATATAGCTCCTTCGGAGCAGAGTTAGGGGTAGGTGTGCCGAGCGCTCGGCGGTCTCGGGAGGTTCGGCGCGCCGCCGCTTCATGACAAAGAAAATGGCGCTGCGGTCGAGGTCCCGGCGCCCGGCGGCCCGGCAGTCCTCCGTCCGTCTCCTCTGCACCTGCGCCTGCGCTCCTTCGCGTTCATAGCGGTATGGCGTCCTCCATGGCGTGAGGCGTTTCATTTGTGCTTGTCGGCGTCATTTACGGTGCTCTCCCGCTTTTAAATGAAGGTTCGGAAGGACACTAGCTGCTTCGCGCCTCTCTGCAAGTCAGGCTATAAATCAACGAGGCAAGGACCTAAGGTGTCGGTTGTTTTCTGTCCCCAAGGACCAGGAT